TTCACTCAAGATTCGCACGACTGAAGCAAAGTTGCTGGGAGGGTTCAAAATCACTGGCCTGCGTGGGATTTCCAGTACACGCGACATGTCAATGTTGAAGCAACTGAGTGTTTTTTTCCACGATTTTACCATACGGGCGGGAATCCGCCGCGCTCCAACTACTATCCAGCAAATCTGTTGCACTGCAAGTTGTCCTCGCCCGCTCCAAACTGCCCAGTCAATGTTTGGGCCACCTTGCATTCTCACATTGCGAAGGCGGATCCGCGCGAGAATGAAAGTCTTTGCCACAGCCTGGGCTGCCTGACTGAACAGCTTTCTTCCTGTCCAGCATCAACGCAGAAAGCTGTCGACAGTGATGCGACAAGATATGGTAGTTTCCCAAAATAAGGGGACCCCAATATAGACCCCAAAATACTATAGTCCTTGTTATAGGGAACCCCAAAAAGGTACCCCTAATTTTGGGAAACCCCCCATATCGAGCTATCTTCAACCTCTGGCTCAGGACACCCTTTCCGGGAGACGACATCGAGCAGAGATGCCTTCCGTTCTCATGTGACTTGTCCCCACCAGCAGATTTTGGGCCAGCCGCTGGCTCTCAACTCCTATGCTCAACAAAATGGTGGTTTCCCAAAACTAGGGGTACCTTTTTGGGGTTCCGATAAAAGGGATCATAGTATATTGGGGTCTCTTTTGGGGTCCCCCATTCTAGGAAACTACCAAATAGGATTGCCGAATATTGCCGGAGCCTGTACCTTTTTTTGTGCTTTCATGCGCTGTGAATCCTTGTGGGTCATGGGCCCATGGATGTTGTGCGTCATGGGCCCATGGATGTTGAGGCACAGCAGTTCCCTTCACAACTCTTCACTCTTCGCGACAACTTGGCCCGGGCCTCAGTGTGGTTTGCTTGTGTTACTTCTAGACAGATGCGCAGCGCAGCGCCAGTCGCGGTGCTTCCAAGGTAAAATAGGGGTATAGTCCCCCTTAAGTAGGTAGAATATGGGGTATATGGGGATCTTCTTATAATGTACCCAAAGCCATATTCTATTTACTTAAGGGGGACTATAGATGGCTGGCCTATCATTGCTCAGATAAGCTTCCTCCTCTCGTAGAAACGCGCTTGCTCACTGAGGGGGTAACGGGTGGCAGCGCGTGTGGCACATCCACGCACCGCTACGAGTTCCGCTCCCCAGCAGAAATACGGTGGAGACTAAAGATCCTGCATGACCCTAAGCACCCTGAACCTTGGGAAGCATGGTGCCATAGCATACTAATCTCATGCAGGAGTTCTAGTATCATCAGTACCTCTAAATTCCTTGTCGTTGAATTAGGGGGAAACTTCATTCATTTTCCTCTCCATTCCCTCTACGTAACCCCTATATACCCCCTATAAAACCCTTTAAGG